GGTCCTCGTTACTAAAATCATTAATATAAACAGCAAAGTCTCGATTATCCACTTTTTTAAATTTAATTATCGATGGCCGTTAGCAGCATATAGGAATCTAATCCAGCCAACATCGAGGGCTAGCCTTGACATCGAGAGTTTATTATGGTCTGGATAAGTTAATTAATGTCTTATTGATAATTTAGATAACATTTCTGGCCCAAAGAAAGACTTGTAATAAGCAGATTTTGCTCTTGCATAATGCATGTTTAAGTTCACAATCTTGTACGTGCAGATACATTCGGATACGATCAACACGACTGCTGATAAGATCTGATAGGATCATTACGATTACTCCACGATTCAAAACACCATTTCAATCGCAGCACGAATCGTGATATTGGGAACTTGGCATTATATATACCAGCGATTGTTAACTCGATGATTTTAAAAGTATATTCAATGAAAGGGTTCAATGTTCTTCTTTCATCCAACTGTGCAAAGAGTAGGGTCGCCTGTCCAACCTCGTGGGATTTCTACGGATTCCTCCTACTGCTAAAGACCCATACGCGCAAGCGAATTATTGAAATAAAATTGAACCATATATCTGACGACGAGGTACAACGTTCACCGCAACATTGAAGATTTAAAAGGGTATGTCAAATTGATGTTTATTAACTCCTGGGAAATTTGCACGGCGATTTTAAATATATTTTCAGCGAAAGTCGTCCATCTGATAATGTCGTTTGAAATCCACTTACAGTTATCTTGTGATACGGTGAAATTTAAAAGGTTAAATGAAATGAAATTGGGTTTAACCAGTGTCGGATTAACCATGGTGGGGGCCCTGGATCATGTGGGGGGCCCCTGATCACCGACTGCGGAGCTGGCCGGCCATCGCGAGCGCCGAAGGCGCGAAGGCCCGCAAGGGGGATCGGGGACCCCCCACCCCCCGAAAATTTTCAGAAATTGGAGGCCGGAAACGTGATTTCCTGGCATTTCAGGCACTTGTGTGGAGCCATTTAGAAGTACCTCCCCCAGAAAAAAATAAAATTCTGCCACAAAATTAGCGCATTCTGGCGTTATTTCAGTGGAACAATCCATGCGAGTGCTATGGTGCCCCATGGTTAATCCGGCCCTGGGTTTAACATCCTACTGTTCTGCTGCGAACTGGGCTAATGAAGACGGGCATACGCCATACAGTGTGCTATGAGGGAAATTGTGCCCGGGCAACGGCACCACGGCCTACTCTTATATCGACTTCCATCTGTCAAGGGATCTTTTACGTGCATCCCAATGTGTACACGGGACCTCGGTTTTTCGTCCCATTCGAACGACTAGACAGCTGTCCTTGTCAGGCCACTCCTCTCTGCACCACTGACAAGGGGGAACCACACCGGAATAAATGAGTGAACTTTCTAGGCAAATGCAGGGATCGAACCCCCGACTTCCAGGCTAGCGAGCCAGCGCCTTACCCCCTTGCCCCCCCCTCTCCCCCTCGTAATTATATCTCATGATTTAGTTTGGAATCGACATACCAAATTAAGTTTTAAAAGGTTAAATAGTTATGTCAAATTGATAAATTGATTGCTTACCGCTGATCATCAACTCCCGGGAAACTGTCACAATGATTTTGAAAGTATTTGCACGGTGATTTTAAATATATTTTCAATGAAAGGTGTCCATCGTCTTCTTTAATCCAAATGTATCTGAGGATTTGGTTCGGTATCGACATACCATGTGAACAGATGGGATGTATACATGTATGTATATAATATATATATTTTAGATAAAGATACCAATCAATAACAAACAATTGGTGTTAACGATTTTATTGTATCATTTGTCTACAGTTGACACCTCTAGGGGTCTCTACTAGTCTTATATAAGGTCAATGGTTGAATAATAATTGATCCACTGGAGAAATTAAATACCGAGTTGGAACCCCGCTTAGCCAACGACATAATGGTCAAAGATAACATCATATGTAACATTTGTTAACATCATTTAACAAGCACTGATTCATTTGTAATGACCTCTACAATATTTCAAGGATACCTGGGAAGCTGATGAAGAATCAATTGGGTTAGTGCTAAAAGATAAGGCCAGTTCAATTTTTCGTCATAGATCACGAGATGTAAACAGGTCTAGCGCTAATCCAAACCCTAACCCTAACCCTGGACCTAGCCCCAATGTTTACCCTAACCCTAAACTACAATCTCGCCAACAATCACATATATGCTCTAACCTTATTTATATCTCAACGACCTTGACAAAAATTGAGCTGGTCTTAACAAATAGACTTAGCCAATGAATTGTATAGATTCTAAGGATACGTGATCAGTCGTTCTAGTATAGTGGGTGGGAATTTGGGGCGGGGCTTGCGTACCCACCCCCACCTTAAAAAAAACAGCAAACAAAAAATAAGCAAAATACATACGCAAAGAAACACAAGCGAATGCTCTCACAGTGTAGCCCTCGGCTGTCCAGATAGAACCTATTTTTCAGTATATCGCAGTATACCCCCCCCCCCCCCCCACCTTCCCATCAGCGCTGCGTTTCTTGTGTAAAAGGCGGGACTGTGGACATAATGATATAAGAAGATCTTAAAATAAATCCAGAATTTGCTGAATTATCAGTTTCCTTTATCTACTTTATCAGTCGGGGGTGGGTAGCTGAATGGTTACCGTATGCGCGCAGTATCATAAAGTCTGTCATTGAGTCAATTGGCGTGGTTTCGATTCCCTGGTTGTACGTGACAAGGAGTAGGGTCGCCTGTCCAACATCGTGGATTTTCTCCAGGTCCTCCGGTTTCCTCCCCTACGCGCAAGCGAATTATTTAAATAAAATTAAACCATACGTTAGTCCCGAAATGACCTAGTTTGTGTCGAGTGGACGTTAAACCCCATTTCTCTCTCTCTCTCCTTCTCTCTCTCTCTCTCTCTCCTGTAACTTCGCTTCTGTGTTGTTATGGCAGTTTACTTCTAAGTTAACGTTAATTCTCTCCGGTTGAGAAAAAACTCAAGATCAACTAAGGTATACGGAAATTCAAATATTTTCTCGTACCCGGGGGAAGGCACATGAACGTGGAACTGTGACATTTAAATGATTAAAAGGCCCGAGATCGGTTAACCTTGTGGGGTATGCAGAAGGTGCTCGGTATAGATTCGACTAGATGCATTATGGGGTATATTCTGTGCGAGTAACACACGTTAAACAATATTGAACATATTGCAAACCACGAAACTTATTATATCCGTATTAATGTATGAATGATTTCACATTTCATGTCGAACTGTTGGTACTATAAACATATAGATGTTTACCAGCAGAGTTGAAGCCAAAGTCAAAATTACCCACGAGACCCTTTCAGTGTAAAAGGATTAAATGCGATCCCCGATTGTGGAATGAATGAGGGCCCAGGGCATGCCCTTTATATTTTCAAACTAAATTAGAATCTCTCGCACATCCAGTGAAATTTTTGATCTTGTACTCAAAATGTGGGGGCTCCCTAAATATGGGGGATCTGGGAAATTTGTCCCACTTTGCCCTCTCCCCATCTCTATCTAGATCTGGTACGATGTTGCGATTTCTTCTACAAAACGTTTTACTACATTTTACGACGGTCCGATGCTAGAATAGTTATATTTACCTTAAAATTTTATTAATATAGATTATGTATAAGGCCCTGTCAAAATCTGCTGATGAACAGCAATTTGATTCTTTTCCAAAAATTAAATCTTCATGACCATTCTATGGTAGCTGCCGGTAGTTTTAGCCCATTTCAGTATTTTATTAAGGCCTGGTACATTGTCTATGCAGTATTAAATTATTGAGGAACTTGGGAAATGTCAGGCATTAATAAAATTGTTAATACGTTTGGGGTTCCTTTTGGTCCATGGCACTTCATTCTTAAATGGATTTCACATAGACCGTAGGCAATCTTTGGTTGTGAAATAGCTGAGAACTTCGTGACAAAATGACTGGTTTCCCAGAAACAGATTTATTATGGAACTAATGCAGGAGGGTTCCCAGGTGAGTGATTAGACAGACCTCATTACTTTTTGCCAAGGGTCCCCATCACAGGTCGAGAACCGGTGGGAATTGCTCCAACCCTAGCAATATTAGTATGGAACATGGAACAACCTCACAAAAAGAAGATAACAGTGAGACAGACCGCGTTGCTTGTTGCGAAGGGTCTCCATCACAGTTCAAGATTCAGGGCCACCAAAATTGTAGGTCCGTCATCGGGGTTTCCTGCATAAAGCAATGATAAACAATACATAACGATGTTTTTGTTGGACCTGAAAATTTATAGAACCGACGGGAATTCCCCAAACCCTGTCAGCTTCTCCCACCTCATCACTGTATTCCTCAAGACATTAACCATATGTAAGACACGGAATGAATTTAGTAACATCGGGGTAGAACTTCCTGGATTTTCTACCTTGCTTTGACCCAACATTACCAGAAATGTCTGACGAAGAGAGACAGAGAGAGAGAGTTATGTCATTTCGGGACTAACATATGATTCAATTTTTTTTCAATAATGCGTTTGCGCATAGGCGTATTTACCAGTGGAAGGAAATTCGAGGACCTGGAGAAAACCCACGAGGTTGGACAGGCGATTATCCTTGTCGCGTTCAAGCGGGGAATCGAAACCACGCCATTTGACTCAATAAATGACCTTGTGTTTTCATGCGCTGGTGTTAAACCACTAAGTCATCTACCCCCCCCCCCCCCGGTCTGACGAGGATATGCGGCTATTTGAATATGACGACCCTATCGTTACTAAATTTCTTCAGATTAACCCTGTAGATTATCATGGTAAATATAGAAACACAACTCTACTCCGGGCAAAATTTCGCGGTCTTTATTAATCGGGATGGTGCAGAGAAGTATGCCGTTAAACCCCCATTTCCTTTCATTTCCAAATGTCACTGTGCAGGAGACATACCGCTTCTAGACAGAAGATCAATCAAAGATGTCTTACACACCAGAAGAAATAAAACAAGACAATATTTATACAAGCAATACTTTTTTAATAATGATGGTACAGCATTTGGCTAAAGAATGTATGGCATATTTTTTTGTTGAATATAAAACATGACGATTGCACTTTCGTTTTTTTTCTTAAAAAAAGCATGAAATATCACAAATCTACAGAACATACAATATAGTAGCAATCCAAAAACAAAGAATAATGAAATACTATAAAAAAAATATTTTGTAATGAAATCTTTCAGGTGAATAATTCATGGTATGGAAAATATTTTAGAGGCAAAATTTATCTTGTAAACTATGTTGGTTTAAGAATAGGGTTTCTTATAAATTTAAAATTGCCGATAAACCCAATAGTATTACTGAGCAAAGGGGTTTCTATATTTTTGGATTGTTACAATTTAAATAAATATAGTGCACAAAGCCATGTGTATTTATAGGTGTTTCTGTCTAGTATAACAACAATGATCCAGAATATGGAAGAACTGATCATTTAGCCATTAAGATAAAAATTAATAAAAAAAAAGATTCAGTGTTTAGGTTTTGGTCATTTTCTTTATTAAAGTTTGTCGCGGATTATTTACTTGAAATAAATACACAAATCTCCTAAACCAGAGATTTTATGTTCATATTGTTTATACTATATACATAATTTACAAACAGCTTATGTTTTGTTAAAATTAAACAACAAATGGGGTAGGTGGGCGGGTAATGCGAATGAAGGTTTTATCCTTTGCTATATAGCTTTCGCACTAGGAATCTTATGAAAATCTTTTTCTTTTAAATGGTGTATTTCTATTACAGAATAATAGAAGATGGTATTACCTGTCAAATGCCAAAATGTACAAGAAAAGTTTAGTTTTTTGTCACAAATTCAAAACTGAGTGTACCAAACAGTTTTCCTCTTGACTCAGACAAAATTTGCAGCAGTTTGATTCTATGGGTACTAAAATACTGTAGTATTCGTTCCTATTTAGAAGATTTAAAGAGTAATGCAAAATTTAATGCTGTAATACAGATTTACACAAACTTAAATTCAAAGGATTGCATTAATGACCAAAAACATCATGGCGAAAAAAACCCCAAAGACTCAAAGAATTGGGTATTTTACTCAAATCAAAGGGGTACTCTCTTTTTAAAAGATTGTCTTCTTCAACAGTTTCTGTTTTGTCAATATTGCGAATTTCCCCCATAAGGTGTTCAGTTAGAATTTAGACTGATAAACAAAAATAGAAAAGTTACTTTGTTTTTAATAAGCCGGATATATGTACATGTATGTGTAGTCCTTTGAATTTAGGCCTCTGGACAAAAAACGGGAAAGGTAATCTGTTTTTTAATAAGCTGGATATATGTGTAATTACATGTAGATAGATTTATGTTAAAATATTAAGTTAATAATCTCTTTTTATCTATATAAAGTATACAAGTTATATAAAGACTAGTTTGATTTACATTCATAATAATTCTATATTTATTCTTTATTATACATTTAATTACAAAAACAATAATAATTACATATAGGTCAAAATCATTTCAGGTTTAGTCATAACCAAAAAATAGGAAAACAAAAAAGAATTCTGTAGAAAAAAGAAAACAAAACAAAGTTGGTGGTGACATGATACTAACGAAAGCCGATGATACCAGTATTGACCTCAAATAATATCTAGAGAGAAAAATGAGATTCTTAGGATCTACTATTCTAATTTAGTAGAAAATTATTTTTAGAAAAATTGGGCTGAAGTTTATGTCTTAAAAATTATCAAAAAATATCTGAATCTATGATAATAATTGATAATGATTAAAAAAGTTTTAAACCGTATCCATTCGAAAAAGCCTAGACGCTTCTGTTAGGGGGTTTTCTCCAACAAGAATTCTTATTATATGATGCAGTCATAAACTTTTTCAATTAATTTTCAAAAAATAAATTCATCTGGTCAATTCTTAATTCTTCTTGTGATAAAGTTAATTTAGAAGACTAATAACTGCCTACTAAAATCATGAAACAATAAAATCATCTGGTCAATTCTTAATTCTTTTAAAGTTAAAAGTTAATTTAGAAGATTAATAACTGCCTAAGATCACGAAACAATTCTTTAGTTCGGTTAACATTTGTTATAGGAAAATAGATTATCGTTGTGTAAACAAACTCTAGAAGGTAAATGCTAAACACATATCTAAAGAATGATGTGTTGCTATTTTACAAGAACTATTGCTGGATACACTAGACAAGGTAATACAGTTATTACCATCATATTGCCACAAATTTAAGAAAAGGGGAGGGGGAGGGGTATTAATAAGGCCACTGATTACATTATTTGAATATAACAAGTTCGCAGTTTTACCCCCTCGACAAATAATGATTTTTGTGTATGCAAAAGAAATGAACTGACATTGCGAACATACAAGATTTTACCATTGTTGTTTTGTTAATCAAAAGACAGAATCTTTAAAGGGCGTATAACTATAATCTTTGTTATTTTAAAATAGACGAAGGTGTGTCTAAAAGCACATATAAATGTAATTTGAGTGACATAAAGTTATTTACATTTAATTTTTAAAATTTCTATTACATTTTCTGATCAGTTATATATGTTCAGGAAAATAGGTATACAGTCCAAAGTGAATGGCAGTCAATTGCACTGGTTAGTCCAGTCTACGAGCTCATCTTTGATCATCTTGTCATTTATGGATCAGCCATTTCTAATTACTTTCCCATTTACTATATTATGAATAATATCGAGTTACAGCTATACGCCCTTTAAAAATATTTAGTATGCAAATGCTCAACCAATAAAAACTTGAATTTCCTATTTAAAAAAGAAATGTAACTATTAATAATAATATCTATTTAAAAAGAAAGACATGATTTTTATAATGTAGTAATGATTCATAAAATGTTAGAACATTTTTTTCTATTTCATTAATAATTATGATATAATAGATATAATATAATAATATTAATAATAGTAATAATTACAAAAGTTTTTTTGTACAAAATAAAAATAAATAAGACTAAACAACTTTGTTACTTTAGATTCTAGATGTATTTTTAATTTAATTTACAAAATCTAAAAGAACCCTGTATTCTATGTTAAAAAGTCAATAAACAAAATAAAAAAATTGAATCAAGTATTTATTTTCTCTCCTGTTTTCTGGCAACATCCTTCCGAAAGACAACTACATGCACAGTTTTAAACCATAGCTTTGTTGACGAAAATTTTCAGGACACATTCTTGAATACCTTATAGGGAGATACCTCCAAACAGCAATTTGTAACCACTGTACTAGACCAAGACAGGTTTGCTTTTTTTTCACAAACACCCATTATTTCAGTTTTTATTTTTCGATTGTTCATTCGAGATTTTCAAAATCTTAGCACCATTTTTAAGATTAAGCAGAATTGGCCTTTAAATGGTTCTTAAATATTCCCCGCCAAAATACAAAAGCAGTAGTACCAATTACATTTTTGAACATTCATGATGAAAATTTATAAAAATCTGTCTGAAAGAATCGACTCAGAGTAAAACAGAGTTCCGTTAAAGGGATGGTTCAATGAGAAATGTATAAACCAAAGCACTGAAATAATGTATGAATATATTGGTACAATCCCTATGTTATAATATCAAAGCCATGGTTAAGCGTTTACCATTAATATTAGTCTGTGCTTTTGGTAGAATGATATTTATTATACAGGTTAACGTCAAAGACTCCGAAACCACATGTAGTAATACACATAACATAAAATATAGTTCCAAAAAAAGCAGTTTATAACGGGGAGTACCACACACATACTGTGACGTCACTTCTCTCGTAACACACCCAAAATAAAAATATCTGAGACACTAGACACAAAATGTCTACGCTTCGATGAAATTAAAACCATGATTCAAATCATCATAAAGGTAGTCAACAAAATCTTTAAAAGCTGATTGTTGAACAAATATGTTTTCTTTTTCTTCTTAATTTTCAGAAATGCTTTCTAGATGAATCACAGATTAAATTCTATTTAGTTAAAACTCGCTTCAGTCTTGGAAAACAATTCACGTGTGACCACAAGATAAAAACTCCATTTTGAGTAAAAAAATCAACAAGTTTTGATGACATCACCAGTTTGCGAGCCCAGGTTTACTTAATGTCATAAAGTAGATTTGACAAGATGATCCTGACCGAACAGATGAAAAGAAAACCTGAAATGGATAAAAGCAAATAGCTGATTATTATCACTAAAACATCCAAATACAAATGTAGATGTTGCCATCGATTGGGTCTTAGATACTATTATTTCGGTATGCTGGGGCATTAATGGAAAATTTTCTAGCAATTAAAATTGTCACATTATATGAAGTGGAAGACCAATACAAGAATGAGAATTTAAAGAGATGAAATCGTGTTGAACGTCCTACTTTTCTGCACCGATTGGGCAAATTAAGACAGGCATATGCTATACAGTATGCTATGAGGAAAATTTTGCCTGAACAGTGGCGCTGTAGCCTACTCTTATATCGAATTCAAACAGTCTAGGGACCTTTTACGTGCAAGCCAATGTATACACCGGACCTTGTTTTTTGTACCATCTGAACAACTAGACAGCTGTCCTTTGGTTCTTTTACTTACAAAGGACTTCAATTTTGTGTCCCATCCCAATGGCTAGATGCTGCACCAGGGAAACCACCCTGGAAAACCACCCCTGGGGAACTTAAGAACCAGAGAACAATGACTAATCAAATATCACATACATACCTTGTCATTTCTCTCACACAAAAACTTGAGTTTTTGAGCCTTTTTATGCATAAAGACTCCATCAAGATGGCCAGTCTCAGCCGAGCGGATTTCAATAGCTTTATTTCCCCATCCCATAATCTGACCAGTACTGATATAAGCTGAAAAATAGAAACAAGACAAGAAATTAAAGAGAGAGAGAGAGAAATGGGGTTTAACATCCACTTGACACAAACTAGGTCATTTTGGGACTAACATATGGTGGAATTTTTAATTTCAATAATTCGTTTGCACATAGGGGTCTTTAGCAGTGGGACGAAACCGGGGAATTTAAACCACTTCAGTTAACTCAATGATAGACCTTATGATACAGCCCGCATGCGCTAACCATTCAGCCACCCCCCTCCCTCCTTCAAGAGAGAGAGAATGAATGAATGAAATGTGGTTTTATGGCACGTCAGCTCCAACCGGGCTATATTGCGCCTCAAGAGAGAGAGAGGACATGAGTTTGAATATGCCACCCTACTCCTTATCACGTACAAGCCTGGGGCCGAAACTACATCAATGACAATGACAGATCTTATGATCTAATGCGTTAGACCACTGAATGTCTAAACATATCATTTTCATGCAAATCATGATTCAAAAGTTAAAATAAATAGGGTTAAAGTTGAAAACTAAAATTCAACATAGACATATTACTTACCAACTGATGTAGGTAGTTCACCCCATTGTAAAACAACATTCTTGGTTACTTTACCATTAGTATCTACATACACACCTTCATCTAAAACAATCATAATATATCATTTACAATTACATCTATCACACATATTTATCATATATAATTACGTCTATCTAACACAACTATCATTTACAATTAGATCTGTCTAACTGATTTTTCATTTACAATTACATCTATCTAAAACATCTATCATTTACAATTACATCTATCTAACATATTAATCATTTATAATAAAGTCTATCTAACATATTTACCATTTATAATTACATCTATCTAACTGATTTATCAATGACAATGAGATCTAACAGATTTATTTTCACATTTGGATTTAAAATCTTGGTATTTTATATATTGTAATATTGTTGTTTCTGTCTGAATTTTGATGAGCAATTTTCCAGCATTATTTATTAATATATAGATAACTTGACGATATCTGTTGGTGAAATAGCTAATCATTTCAGGTTTACATTAATATTTGGGTTTTAAGTCTTGACGTTCTGTACATTGTTATGTTGTTTCTGTCTGTAATTTGTTGTGCAATTTTCCTGCAGTGTTATAATATTAATATATATACATATTTTGGAGAAAATGTCTGTATCATTAGTAATAAGAAAATAAACTTACTATCATAGCACAGTAATAGATGAAGACCATTCGTGTTAGGTAAAATGACTACAGTATGGGGCATTATAGTTCCTTGCGTCTGCAAAAAATAAGAAACCATGTTGTAAGAATACATTAAAAATCTAAGAACATTTACGAAAATAATTTCCAAATTAAACTCCAATTCTTAATAATATGATACTAATATAAACAGATTATTACATTTACATGTAAATTCATTATCATATCGATCAGCAATTACAGATAATCAATCATTTTTTTAAATTTGTTCTCTTCATGAAAGAAAAGTATAAAATAAAAAATATTGATGAAAGATAACAACACAGTACAGAATACATGACTATTTTAATATAGGCCTATACATAATTCAATTGAAGCTTAACTAAATAGAATATATTCAGCAACTTTGAAAATTCAAGTAAAATGCCCAACAACACACAAGGGAGGTAACTCTTGTTTATACAACCACAAAGCTGGATTCATATTTTTTGCCTATCGGAAAAATTTATTAGCCAAGCAAAATGCATATTGAACACTCAAAACATACGACTAAATGAATTTCTTATCCATAGTTCTAATAATATAGGAGAACTTTCCTGTATGAAAATGCACATCAGAATCAGGGGAGAATCTAAAAAGGCATAGTACGACTTAAGTTCAAAGCAAAGTAAGAAAACTCAAGTAAGATAAAGCATGTTTATAGTCTTTGCCTCCTCCTTATCAATGTCAGAATTGAACCCAGCTTTATAATAAAAAAATATCAACTGAAAACAAACAATTCTTGGCAGGAAATTTTCAATGTATTGTATAACAATTCAAATTAATCTATTGAAATCTATCAAGTTAATAAAACTATATCAACTTATTTATCCAATTCAATTTTTAAAATAATATGAATTATGAACTAAATTTTGGTTAATGCTTATAAATAAAGTTTTTAATGTTTTTATTTAGCCTTCAGGCCTATAAATTTTTCATATTATTCAAGACATTCAAATAATCCTGTATGATTAAAAATGCTCTTAAAAATTCAAACTTAAAATGAACACTAAAACAACCATCATGCACCAAAATAAAAGGTATAAAGAATGAAATGTATGACTGAAATAAACATACAACTATATAACCAGTCACACAATGGCGGATGCAGGGTATTTGGGTAAGATGGGGGGTGGTTATGGGGGGAGAGGATTGGGAATCTCCTCCAAGAATATTTTGATTTGTGGCACATATCTTGACACGACTATAACATTCAATTTCATCAACTATATCACCCCAATCAACACAAAGCTCAAATTTACATGTTTCATAGAAATAGAAATGAAATGGTCTTTAATGTCCTACTGTTCTGCTCTGACTTGGTTAATGGAGACGGGCAATGGCCAAGCATTACGGACTACTCTTTTATCGAATCCCAACTGCCAAGGGATCTTTACGGTCATACCAATGTGTACCCAGGACCTTGCCTTTTTTGTCCCATCCACTACACTACTGAAATAGGGAAACTATTCCCCCGGGAAATCATGATGAACTTTCTCGGTCAACACTTGGATCGAACAGGTTAGCGAGCCAAAGTCTTATTCACTGAACCACGGCGGCTCCCTCATAGAAACACAATAAGACAATTTCTTATTCTATAATTTAGGCCCCACCCCTGCCTGAATCCACCACTGTATATAACAAACTACCATAATGTTTTTAATGCAAGTTGTCTGATCATTGGTTCAAGTCACGACTAATAATTCACAGATTCCATTGGTGCAATTAATTTTATTTCACAATTAATTACGGTATGCTCACACTGTTAACGATGAATATATTATTTTTTGGAAGGTGTATGAATTTAGGATTTTAAGACAAATGATTTGGTAAGCATTCTTTTTATGATACTACAATCTATTTAAAACACAGATCCTATTTCATTTCGTTTTTTATAGTTCAAAATTTTACTTAGTCTTTACTACACTAGGATCTGGTATATTACCAGTGTTTTGGTTGAAGTGAGGGATTAGTCAATGAAATGGTCTGTGACTTCTTGGCGTGCCATGCATGGAACTGTAGGTGAACCACTAGAAACGTCACTGCTGATTGATTAATCAATGTCTAACGTCATAGGGTCAAAAGCCGCTCATACGACCCCTGACATGACCTTCGAGTAAAATTTGTCAAATCTTCGTGTAGTGTAGGCCATCGAAAGTATTAAAAAAAAAACGAAATATAGATCTGTATTTTAATCAGATTGTATGATGCTAGTAACTAATCTATTCATAAAATTCATCCATAAACACTATTTTATAATTAATTTTTTTTTTCATCAATACTGATTTATTTTTAAAAAATTGATCTTATACATTATGCAAGAGCTAAATCTGCCAATTGCAGGTCTTTCTTTAGGCCTGATATGTTATCTAAATTATTAATTAGACATTAATTAACTTATCCAGACCATAATCAACTCTCGATGGCAATGCAAGCCTGCGATGTTATTGGATTATGATCCGATTTGCTTCTCAACTTTAATTCATGATTTAATCATGAAATGGATAATTGAGACTATGCTGTTTATCGTACTGACTTTAGTAAAATATGATCAAGGCTAGCCGGAAATTTCAACTGCTTAGTTCTCGGTTCATAGTGGATCAATTTGAATGAAATTTTCAGCAAATTGCCTTTACATTATCTTGTTTTTAACTATCCTAGTGAGAACTGCCAACTCGTTATCGAATCTCCCATAATGTATCTTTAACACTATTCTATAATTAATTTTTTTTCTAAAAATTGATCTTATATTTAATAAAAATTTGGAAATTCATTTATAAAATAGATATTAAAGTTGCTGATATCACCATTTGCAGGATTTTAAATCTCTTCCAAGAAATATTAGTCCTAAAATTGTTCAACTCTGTTCAGTATTAAAAAAGATGTGAGTTTAAAATTTTGTAACAGTCAGCATCCTATGCAGAAACAAGCCAGAGCAACCTATAATTGTTGGGTGAAATCTTTTGATGGGATGGGCCTATTTTTAATCTGATGGAAGCCACGACAAGAGATTATCTGCCGTTATTATTTTGATTATGTTTTCATAATAAAATGTAAAGTTACCAATATGAGTACATTTTATCATGAATTATGCTATAAAAAATTAGATCTTGTCCGAAAAACACAAAATGACGATAAACAGCTTTAATTTACATCAAAATGCAACAGCTTTTCTAATCAATTCCCTATCAATTTATTCAATTTCTAGAAAGGATGACATGAATAATAATGAATTTATTTATTTTCAAGGAAGGATGATGTAATGCACAGTGTCCGTATACAGAGACGATTACGAATAACAATGAATGAATGAAACGATCGACACAAATATTAAATTCTGTGAACATTAGTGCGACATGAACGATGAACGTGCAAGATGGTACATGGCGTTTTTACCTGATGCTCGTTAACGTAAAAAGAGAGAGCACCTCCTCGAGTTGTTGATACGTTATCATACGTCCCGTGATACTGAACACAGGAAATAACACACAAAGTATTAACACACCTTATATAGTCATAGATAAAACTACTAAAATAAACTCAAAATACACTAATAATATTGGAAATTTGGTGTAAAAACTCAAATTTTTAGACTTGCACAAATGGCAAGAGGCTAATTTTTCAAATCTTTAGACTTAAAAGAAGTTTTATAAATTGAAAGAAAATTATAATAGACTTAATTTTCAATAAATCCCTTCTTTTATTAGGTTAAAATTAAATTTTTTTTCAAATATTGTTGCCCTTTCTAAAACGTTCTATTCATATTAAACATTTAGAAAGATTTATGGGATTAAGATCATTAAAGAAAACAGATTTTATGACAATTTCTTAATCATTTCAATGTCCAATATTTATAATGTCATATACAATAATACATATCTTCTCCCTCTTAACCACATGGTCGATCTACACTTACTGATATATGCACTCTGAGTATGTTACATAATCTTGATATCAAAACTGTCTATACTATTTTAGAAACACAGAGAACACGAGTACCGGTAGTACTAAAGACTTTGTACCACAGTTAAATGTTGTGTATACTAATACTGTTTTCTTTCCCCAATATATATCTAGTATTTTGAGTTTATATTTGATCAGAAATATCTCATACATTTTGGATAGACTAAACCTTGGTTTATAAAGTTTACGACGATAAATTTTTATTTAAGAAAAAAAAAAAAAAAATCAAACAAAAGAAAGAGAAATAGGTAATAACTAAAATTGAAATTTTTATCATCTATAAACACACACTGTAATAATTTCAATAAATCAGACCCATTTATTCTTTTTTTTTTTTTTTTTTTTAAAAATAAAAATATTTTCTATAAAGTTGCATTATGTAAAAGCTAAATCTGCCTATTGCAGGTCTTTCTTTTGGCCTCAAATATTATGTAAACTATTAATTAGATATTAATTAACATTACAAGCTCATAATCATCTCTCTAGTCTAGACCATTGGATGGCTGTGATTTTAATGGATTTGAACACCAACCAGATTTTAAAATTTAACAATAAAATGGATAATCAAGACTTAAAACAAGAACGCCCAGTACTTTATCTAAATCTTACATAATGCATCTTTAATTGTTAAGTTTTGTCCTTTAATAATCCCAAACTTTCAAATATTAAAAAATTATTTTTTTCGATTGAATCAATGTGTCTGATTTATTTTAAAGTTAATCATAAATAATCTGATCAAATCCTGCACACTAGAACATAAAAGGCCATAAAAAAATATTCTGTCTCTCAGCTACTCTCACATCACTTATAAAATGGATGCATAACACGTTTTTATTTGAAAAAATAAAATCATAACAGTCTCACTACCGCACGTAAATTTTTCTCCTGGTTACAAGAAGTAACTCTATAGACATTTCTGATTGAAACTGGAAGTTTACCTTAGACTCAATTATCAAGTATGCAACTGACAATGTAACTGACAATCATAAATGAAACTGGATAATCATAAATTTCTATCAACAACATGAGATAAATGTAGTAGTGCCTTGATGTGATTTTCTGTTTTAGAATTCATTTAGCCAAGTAGTTATGCTTTGACAAATTAAAAATACAAAAACAAAACCCTCCCTCACTCATCAAATCTTTTGAAGACTTTTCCGAGAAACAGATTTTTTGTAAACTTTTCCGAGAAACAGAATATCTTTTTTTTGTATGACATAATCAGCTTATAAAATAATATACACCACACATCACCAATTTGATGTTGAAATGTTTGAAAATTGAAAAAATTTTTAATTTAGAATGGTAATGTTGCAAATATTATTCCATAAAAGTTTATTCTAATCTGGTACCATTGTGTTTTGAAGATAACATACCATAGAAAACTCATCTATTCCCGATACAATTTGGTCATAGAAATTTTTAAGAGTCTTCTATTCATAAAAGAGGATCAATTTAGTATATCATCTAAAAACCACAATGAATTGGTGTCAACTCTGTCAAACCAACTTGCAGGATGTCTGTGAAAATTTGTGCACATTAGTTGTGCCATTTCTCTGTTAATGTGCACAGAAGAGGGGAAAAATCAGTGAAATATTATATCAACTAAATTCATACTTACATGTGAAGGAATGTAAAGGTCAAACACTTGCGAACTATCAAGGTCGATGGCATGGAATCCTTTGTTGGAACCGTAAATGACCTTTAACCGTTGACCTTCTTCCACAGTAAGGTCAACTATTAGGGGTTTATAAGCTAGTTCTGGGAAAGACTGAAAATAAATTTTGTATTGAATTAAATAAAGCGAAGTAAAGAATTTTCACATCAATAGTTTAACGTCCACTCGACACAAACTAGGTCATTTCGGGACTAACATATTCAATTTTTATTTCAATAATTCGCATGTGCGTCAGGGTCTTTTGCAGTGGGAGGAAACTAGAGGACACAGAGGAAACCCACGAGGTTGGACAGGTGACCCTACTCCGTACAACCGGGGAATCGAAACCACACCAGTTGACTCAATGAGAGACCTTATGATACAACGCGTACGCGCTCACCATATTGAAATTTGCAATAAGCACCGCTAGCTAGGCCAAATTTCACTCATGTAGGACATTAAAATCCCATTTCATTTATTTGTGATGCAATTTCCCTGAATTGTCTTTTATAGTCTAACAAACTTATTTTTCAATTATTATCCCTATCGCTACAAAAGAAGTTCTCACCTTAAATGCCATGAATTTATGATAAGGTTTAGGAGCCCAGGCATAGATTTCTATACTTTCTTGTAAAGCAATTACTAGAAATTTGATTCGCTCGTATTTAACTGTAAAAAAAAAAAATATAAAGAAATATTAAACAATTTCAAAAATTTATGTTGATAGTCATAAAACCATAAAATACAGATCTATATTTTGTTTTATTTTTTTTATACTTTCAAGGGCCCACACTACAAGAAGATCTGACTGGTTGTAGTGGAAGGTCGTGTCAGGGGTCGTACGGGCAGTTTTTGACCTTATGATGTCCGACATTGATTAATCAATCAGTGTTGACGTTTCTAGTGGTTTACCCACAGTTTTGGGCATTGCACGCTAAGAACACACTGTAAAAGACCGTTTCATTGGCTAATCTCTCACTTCAACCAGAACGTGGATTATATAACAACTCTTCCAGATCCTAGTGTTGTGAAGTCAAGTAAAACAAAATTTTGAACTATAAAAAAACGAAACAAAATAGGATCTGGGTTTTAATCAGATTGTCATAATACCACAGCCAACAACTTTTCAAATGTTCAAGCATTTGACTTTACAATTTGGAATAATAAAATACTGAGGTACCAGTATGCCCATAAACAGGTTAATTGTCCAGGGTGGGTAGCAAGGGTTTCCAGATGGATGAAGTAAAAGCAATAACACTGTATGCCCCTGCAAGTTTTTTTTCAACTTGGACCAAAAGTTCGAATTGTTTAACTATTTAAAACAAGACTATTTGAAGTAAGGGCAATAACCCTGTTCAAAATATCAAATAGTTTTTATATCCACAAACACTAAAACCCAGCAAGTTTTATCATATTGAGTAATCATCACAATTTTAACTAAAATCTGAAAACACTTCAGACAGACAAGGTGATGACTATATATTTCCGTAAAAAAATGTTGAACCTACCTATTTTGAAATGTACACAATTCTCTAATTCTCCAACATTTACCCAGCCGTTCTTTTTATCATTCTGTATAAAATAAATACAAACAAATCAAATATATATATATACTACAGTATAATGAAATGACAATACTTACCAGTAATATCAATATTGTTGTTTCACAGCCATTGTTTTAGTTTTAATACTGGGCCTGGGCTTTCACTTAAAACATTTGCCAGTTGGGAATTTTAAAATGTATTTTGTGTATATCAAATTCATAAGTTAATTTTTTCTGAAGAATATGGCAATTTTTAGGATTGTCCCTACATTTATTGCATGTTGAGATAAAATTCTTTAAAACTCTAATCTAAGTTCTCCAGTCAGCCAATTTCACTGCTCATTTGTCCAGACTGGCAAATATGAGTGAATTGAATGTCCTGCTTCTAAAGAGTTCAATACCAGAGAGAAATGGGTTTAACGTCCACTCAACACAAACTAGGTTATCTTGGGACTAACATGTGGTACAATTTATTTCAATAATTAGCGTGCATGTAGCAGTCTTTAGCACTGGAAGGAAACTAGAGGACCCAGAGACACCCCACAAGGCAACGCAACACCCTTGGGACCGAAACCATGCCATGTCCCTCAATAATAGACCTTATGATCCAAAGTACAGGTATTAGACCACTCAACCATCGAAACGCCACAATCAATATAAATAAATAATAAAAATAAAAAATTTACCTAAAGAGTACTAAAAGTTTTGGTTACTTACACTACTTACCCCTTCCGTTTTAAATATCTTGCTTTTTAACCAAGATAGATAATAAACACGGATTTTGTTCTTCTTGCCCGATATGGTGACGAGAATATTCTGTCCTTCTAAAACTTCCATTTGATGAAAGCGTCGGCGAGATATTAATGTGTACACTGTGAATAATAAAAATCCCGATAATGTGTTAAAAATAGATGTGGTGATGAAGGTATGACATCTACGTATCATATCCAATATGAGAGAGAGAGAGAGAGAGAGAGAGAGAGAGGGGGAGAGAGAGAGATGGGGTTTAACGTCCACTCGACATAAACCAGGTCATTTCGGGACTAACATATGGTTCAATTTTATGTCAATAATTCACTTGTGTGTAGGGGTCTTTACATGTGGGAGGAAACTGGAGGATTCAGAGAAAACCCACGAGGTTGGACAGGTGAGATGAAGGTATGACTTAGAGCATCTACTGATCATATCTAAATGTGAATCTCAGCATATAAAATGGGGTCGACAGTGTACAAATGATAATAATTTCCTAAATGTGCGTCCAAATCAGTGATTATTTCATTATTCAGTTTTATGGATGATTTTTGTGATTAACCAACCTTTTCCTTGTCCACTTCTATCTAGTAACATCAAGCCATTTTCTGTTCCTATTAAGAGATTCACCCCTGCAACAAATCATAATTAATATTTTAATAAGGAAACAAAATTCAAATAATACAGGTTTAAAAAATATGTCTATTCTGCTGAAAAGTGGGGTGGCAGTGATCGTGTATTATTAATATTGTTACAAAACACTGATAAAGACAAATCTGTGACTGACAAAATGACAGGCACCAGAAGAGTTGTGTCTGATAATTCCTGTATTCATGCCCGATCTGTGACAGGTACTAGTGTTGGCACAATACATCGTTGAGGGAGAGAGAAAAATTTTGGGACTAACATATGGTTTAATTTTATTTCAATAATTTGCTTGCGAGTAGGGGTCTTTAGCAGTGAGAGGAAACCGGAGGACCCGGAGAAAACCCACAAGGTTGGACAGGCGACCCTATTCCTTGTCATGTACAACCAGGGAATCGAAACCACGCCAGTTGACTCAATGACAGACCTTATGATACAGCGCACACATGCTAACCACGATATATCAATTTAATCAATGTATCGCAATTCATGATTCGCGTACTGAATCACAAGGCTTTGAATTGATTCTTTATGATTCTTTTTTATGTCTTTTTGTCGCTTCGGTAACTAACTTGTCACACATTATCCATAGGTACAAACTAAACACTCTTAAATTATTTTTGTGTTCATTTTCATCCACATCAATGTACATGTAAACAGTTTTATTTCTATGACATCGACAGGGCTAAAAATTCTTGCCATCCTGTTGTTTTCTTTGTAAATATTGACCTGGTTATGAATCATGATATGAATCGTATCGTAGCACACGAATAGCAATATGTATCGCATCGTGACTGCAATGGTAATACCAGCACTATCAGGTACATTTTTTCTAAGCATGTAAACAATGATGCATAGTTAATAAATACTATTATTTTTAATGTAATAATGCAATGTTTGGCTCTTTATACCGGTACCTCTATTGATAGTTCCAACAGGTTATAACTATATATTGAAAATTAAATTAAGATATGATTAAAATGTAATGGAATTAAAGTATTACCCCATAATGCAGCACATAATATATCCGAACCGAAACGTTTCTTGTATTTTCTGATCTCTGGTGTGTCTCCACTGTCCACAACTGTCGGAGATGGTGTGACATTGACGTTGATCTGGGAACCTCGTCGGGATTGCTGGGAAATGGAACCAATAGTTGAACCACCTGCTCCGAATCCAAACGCGGAGAAGGACCTCTGATGCCGCATCGAGGGCTGTTTACTGACAGCCTGTCGATACTTGAAATGGTAGAACCAAAATATTTCACATTTTTGAAGGGCAAGCAACATAACTTAGTGAAAGAGGACAATTTTGATAGCTCATCAGGTCAGGCGAGTTTCTCTGGTTTACACGTGTTTAGGTTATAAGGACAGGAAATATAAATGCAGGAAATGATTAAATATGATTTGATTATTAATTTTGATTATGAATGAATGCTTGATAATATGCGATGATAATAATTTTGAATTATTATAAAACAAAAAGCTATGCAAAAAAATTAAATTATGCATAAAAATTATTTCTGTTTGCATCAATGTCAAGCATTCTGACTAAAAAAAAAGGTCAGCTAATAATTCGGCGCAAGCAATGATTAAATGAATGAAATTTTGCGTCAACCTGAAAACCAGAGAAACAACCGTTGTGATGGCTTCCATATCCCCGATAGCTGGAATCGAGAGCAGGTGTAGTAGTAGTAGTAGTAGTAGCAGTATGACCAAGGGAGATAACTAACAAGACCATCATCTCACTGACGTCTGCTTAGGGCAGGCATCTTAACTAAGGTTTAATAGGGTTAGTCAAAATAAAGAAAGCAAAGATAATTAGTAGGTTTGTTAAAATTACATGCTAATTCAAAAGAAATAAAAATTTCAATTCATTCAACAGTTTGAAAATTAAAAATTCATAGAAATTGTTTAGGATTGAAAGTTGATGAATTAAACATTCCCTTAACCTTAAAACAATATGAATTGAAGGAAAATATCTTATTATAAAATTACATATAATTAAAATTTCACAATCCACTAGACCACAATTAAAAAATGCTGGCCATACTGGCAGTACACATTCCATTAAATTTAAAACTAGTTTCTTAAATAAATATGATCATTTAAAATTTTAAATTAGTACTAAAGTAAAGCATTATTTAACAAAAAAATATATATCCACAAGAAAATTACATTTTTATATTGTGGTCTATAATAAGCTGCATTTCACTGAAGAATAACCGAAACTCAAAATAACAAATTCAAACCAAAATAAACCCCTTCATTGATAATCTGATTTTGATCATTTATACATCCGAAGCAATTCAAGATACCAATATTATAAATCCAAACCCCCACAATTAACATTTGTTGATATCTAAAAGTTATTTTCTGGGGTCTTTGAAATTAATCTCAAATCTTACAAATATTCCATCCAACATGACAGATCATATTTCAATGAAGAGATATATTCGATTCTTATTTGAATATTTTGAGTGAGCTTCCCTGATAACATCAACACACTCTCACATGCAAACCGTTCTTCAGTGAAATGTTATTATTACAACAGACAATGTCTTCATTTTGTTTACGTTATTAGTTAATTTTCTTTCAAAGCCGCTGTTCGTGAGAGAGAGATAGAGAAATGGGGTTCAACGTCCACTCGACACAAACTAGGTCATTTCGGGACTAACATATGGATTAATTTTATTTCAATAATTCGCTTGCGTGTAGGGGTCTTTAGCAGTGGGAGGAAACCGGAGGACCTGGAGAAAACCCACGAGGTTGGACAGGCCCGCTGTTCGTCATTTGAGACATTTTGAATCAGTTGAAAACTATAATATTGGGAAAGTTGAACTAAATGAAATATCAGTACAGAAAAGGTTCAGTTCCATTCAGTATTTACAAAGATATGATGAATTTAAAATTTCAAACATTCAGCATCACATGAGGATAATATACACTGTAACCTGAGTAATGTTTAATCTTGTGTATTTAGCTCCAATTTCTTTAACATTAGTTTAATTAATATCAAATCTTTGTTTGAAAATTCATCTAATTTGTACATGTGTCTAGTTTAAATCTGGCCATTTAATTTTGATGGGACGAGCACCCAAGTTCATTTTTAATATGACTGAATCCAGACTAGGAAATCATCTATCATTTTTATTTTTATTTTCATTTCTTAGTTAAATGCTATATAATCAATCTCGAGTACCTTTTATATTTTGATTTTAATTTCTTAATAAAATGATATATATAATCCATTACGAGTACATTTTAGGCTTAATTAAGATGTGAAAAAAATAGAAATTGTCTGAAAAATGCAAATACGACCACCAGCTTCAATTTTCTTTAAAAAAAAGTGAAATGTAATGGGGTTTAACGTCCTACTGCCTTGCTCCAACTGAGCTAATGAAGACGGACATACGCCATAGTCAGTCCAGCGTCTTACCCTCTTAGCCACCGTGACTCCCTTTTTTCAAAGAAATTTTCGGTCATACTAATTAACATTTACAAATTTAATTGAGAATATAGAAGACATTGTCCATTCATTATAAAAATATAAAATATAAGTATATAAACAATGGAATGATGTTATAATATTTACCTCTTCTGATGTTGTCTTATCTTGTGGACGTTGTGGGGTGGGTGGGGAGCGGGATTGAGGGGGAGTGTGTGGAGGAAGGAGATCAGGTAGCACATTACTACTGGTACTGTGTCGTGGAGACTGCATACCTGTAACAAAATATTTTAATGCAAAATTTTCGTAAATATATATACAGAGAGAGAGAAATGGGGTTTAACGTCCACTCGACACAAACTAGGATATTTCGGGACTAACATATGGTTTAATTTTTTTTCAATAATTCGCTTGCGCGTAGGGGTCTTTAGCAGTTGGATGAAACCGGAGGACCCGGAGAAAACCCACGAGGTTGGACAGGTGACCCTACTCCTTGTCACGTACAACCGGGGAATCGAAACCCCGCCAGTTGACTCAATGACAGACCGTATGAAATATATATAGAGATAGACATGGTGTTTAACATTTAGTCAACACAAGCTTGGCCATTTTGGGACTAACATATGGTACAATTTTATTTAAAAAATATTTCAATGCAAAATTTTCATGTTTTAGCTTTCATTGGAATCTGGCTTTGTTCACAATTAATCAGTAGATCAGGAAACAACAAAGATAACTAGGGAAAAAGAGATAACATCAACTCTGCACAAGATAGACAATTTTGGGACTAACAAATGGTACAATTTTATTTCAAAAATTCCAATGCACGGGGGAGTCTTTAGCAGTGACAGGCAACCGAAGGACCTGGAGAAAACCCATTAGGTAAGGCAGGTGACCTTACTCCACGTCACGTACAAGTTAAGTGTTAGATCAAAATAACACCAGGTGACTCAATCACAAACCTTATGACCTAAAGGTTGACCTTTAAAAAGATTTAAGTTTTGTTTAAGAAAGATTGTATTTAATCTTGTAAGTGGACGATTGTCAGTAATAAACAGGGCCCTGTTTCTCGAAATCTTAACTAAAGATAAAATCCAATTTTAGTAGATACGTCACTAAGCACTAAAATCAATTCAATATTATCTAATCCAATTACTAAAATTTGGATTTTATCTTAGTTAACATTTCGTGAAACAGGCCCCAGGGCTCAACTGATTTAGGGCTAGTTCAACATAATCCTGAAAGTTATTAAATGTTTATTTTTACCAAGTGCTCCAGGAGCGGAAGAATTTGACTGTGTTCTATGGATATGACCAACAGGAGGTTTACCACTGTTTCTCTGAGCTTCATTTCTCCTATCACGATACTTATCAGCTCCATCTTGAAATGACGGATCAGATTTATTCTGAAAAATATGAAAGAAGAGAAAATGAATTAAACATGTAACTAGTATGTAATCAGATAAGGTCATATAACATCTATTTATTAGCAGAACATATAATCTATTAGTGATTAATGTGACTTCATTCAAAGAAGCTGCGTGACACTATACATTGTACATCATGGATATTATTACGATTCCATTCAAAATTAGAAAATTAGTTAAAATCTAAAAAAAATCATATAACAATCATCTATCAATGCTACATGTACAATGTCAACTCGGATATTATGTTACATCATGCAACTGTAGTGTTCATATTATTAACTTAGATTTGAAACTCCGTTTGCAATTTTTGTGTTTTGTTTTCTGGATAAAAAATTTATAATGCATGAATTTGGGTGAACAAAGTTTGTTTTAAAATGCTTAAGAAAATACAGATACACAATGATACTGTGTCAACTCTGATGCAATCTAGCTGCAGTTTTTATTAATTTCATTTTGTCACTGATGTTATCTTTCACTTGTAAATATAGGTTGCCAGGCAATGAACCATACATCCACTGCAGTTAAGTTGCCTGAGCCATACACAAAGGTTATGATATTGTGAATTTTTTATACAGTTTAAAACAATTAACGGCAATAATTGTCTGGCCGTTAAAAAATTATAGTTTGAACAATGCATAAATTCCAAGCAGTTAAAATAACTCTAGTTTGAACAATGCATAAATTTCAAGCAGAATGGACAATAACTTTTGTCGTCTGCCCATTTATTACTCTCTATAACGTGAACATGTGCCATAACTCTAGTTGTAATAAACAGTTATTATCGAAGTTTGATAAGATTCTATGAAGGCAATACAGACCACATCTCAATGCCACGTTATAATAACTACAGCTACATATTATCTGAGTTGACAATGTATAATCATTTAAAGATAATTGTGATATTTGCAATTTTTGTCCATTGTGTGAGTTGAATATAATTTGAGTTTTAATCAATGTGGCAGTAGATGATAGCAATTGTTCTGTATTGTGTGAGTTGAATTTAATTCGAGTTTTAATCAATGTGGTGGTAGATGATAGCAATTTTTGTGCATTATGTGACTTGAATATGTTGAGCTTTACTCAATTTATAATGCATACATTTAGGTTAACAATGTTTGTTCTAAATGCTTTAAAAGAAAATATTGCGGCACTCAAACTGGAAAGATAATAATCTGAAGAATCTGTTTGTCATTATCAGAACATTTTTAAGTGTGTGTGCCAGTTGTGTAAATTTGTTTGAGCCAGTAATAATGTTTCTACGATATCAAGTGTGGACAATGTGTTATATTTTAGTAGGTATTGTGCCAGATATTATTATTTATTGATTTTCATAATGTGTGGTGTACACATTTAATGATCATGAGAATGCAATTAATAAACCAGGATGTTTTAAAAACTTGACAATACTCCACACGTCACTTCGATGTCCGTGGCTTTTGTTCGCCATCTGAATAAATTCATAGAATGACCACACGACACCAATAACTGATACCAAATTTACAAATGGATGTTACCTTTGTCGTCTACACAATAGGGAAAACAATTGTCATAAATCTACCAACACATCAGAGAGTTCACCTGATCACAAGAGATAACAATGACACTCACCACACACACACCTGCATGCACGCAAACACTGATAGACACAGGTCTTCACATCATTATCCCCTTCCCTTCAAACTACTACCATCTGTCAACTACGGGTTTTGGGAATAGGAAAGTGACGTCTGCTTGCCGTAGCTTATAATTATCATGTCTGAGGGATAAATCTTTGTAGAAAAAATTTCTCAATGTTTTTAATATGATTTGTAGTTCGACACCAATGTTCTAAAAATAATTAGCATATCATGCAACAATAAGCGCCGCACGTCTGCCAAACCCAGACAATTTGTATGAAGAAGATTTGCTTGAGACAATAATGCGAAGAACAGGATATGGAGACCTGTTCTTGGATTACACAATTACAATCACGAACAATAATCATCAAATAAATTGTAGTTTTAAGACAAATCTCTTCAGAATTCAAAATCCTTTTTAGACAATTTCAGTCATGAACTGGATAATTCATCAATATCCAAAGTGTAATCCAAGAACTACCTCATTCACGAATCCTTTTCATACCATCTCTTTTAAAAAAAATCTTCAAGACAATTGAAGCATGTCCATGCTAATTATCTTGCCTGCTCGAACAAATGCATAAAGAAATTGCAAATTTCCATTTCTACCTCTTAGAGAAAATACAATTCAGCAATTATTTACAAGTCTTTCCTAATTTTATGGGTTTTTAAAATTGTATAAATCAACAAAAGGATTGACATCATATAAAAGTAATTACAATGTTTTTTCCTAATTTAATGGATATCTAAAATCTGACATTTTTTTTTTTTATAAAAAATCAAAAGCATCATGCATCACATTGAAATATTTACAACAAATCCTTCCTAATTTTATGGATTTTTAAAATTACTCAAATTTTATAAATCAACAAAAGCATCAATATCCCATATAGTATCGAATATCTCTAATTAGCATATTCTCTAAATGAAATGAAATGAAATGAAATGGGGTTTAACGTCCTACTGTTCTGCTCCTAACCTGGGCTAATGAAGACGGGCATACGCCATACAGTGTGCTATGAGGGAAATTTTGCCCGGACAGCGGCACTACGGCCTACTCTTATATCGAATTCCCACTGCCAAGGGATCTTTTATGTGCACGCCAATGTGTACACGGGACCTCGGTTTTTCGTCCCATCCGAACGACTAGACAGCTTTCCTTGTCAGCCCCTCCGTCCTGCATCACTGACAAGGGAGAACCACGCCGGAAAATCTGGATGAACTTTCTCGGCCAATGCAGGGATCGAACACCCGACCTCCAGGCTAGCCAGCTAGCGTCTTACCCACTTAGCCACGTGATCCCCATTCTCTAAATGAGCTTGTCAATTAATACCATGTAATTTATGTGTATTATTCATGATCATGTTTACAAAGAAATTAGATAATGATGCTTGATACATCAAACATGAGAAAGGATGCTGTAGAAACCTAAGTCTTATGATCAATGAAATGAAAGAAACTTCAAAGAGCGGGTCAACTATTATAGATTTCTTTCCTTGTTCATAAAGTAATTTTTAGATTGCTACTTTGTTGTGGATTCATTAACAATTCTGTATTTTGGAGGGATTGAGGGAGGATGACTCCCAAGACTATGTTTTTTGGATGGGAAAAGGAATCAAACAAACTATAGCAAAATGCCAGGTAGTAATTTGTAGCTTTTTCCTTTGTTGCATCAAGTTACCTATTGTTTGGCAAAGATTTACAAGATTAGATTTATCGTTTTTCTTTTACATGTGTCAACATAAAAGGTTTGTTACAGGGTGTAGAGCTTCGTTACAACACCTGTTGTTTAAGTAAATACAGGTAATAATCAATCTACCTGTAAACCAGACATACTTAACTTCTCATATTTGTGGTAATTTTTATTTTGTAAAGAATCTGGGGTACATGAAATCCGTACACACTGAACTTTAATATGTAGTAATTTACATGTTTTTTTCTTTTTTGATAAGAAAATGAATGTGGGGAGTGAGTTGGTCCCAAGGCTGTATCAATCATATTTAGAGATTTGGGTATCCAGAACATTAATGATTATGTAATAAATCAGATAAAACCCTGTCTTCAAAATAAAACAATACCAATAAATCTATTTCCTCATGTAGCAGGTTACGGCTGAATAAGATAACAGAGATTTGTTACAGTCTCGATGAAAGTCAAGTGTCATCCTTCAGATAGTAACTCAATTTAAAACCCCATCATTTTGGTAGTTTTAATTCCTCGAGTCTCTCAAGAAGTCACTTATCAAACCAGACAATTTTGGTTGCCAACTGGCACTTAACACCAAAACACCCCAAAATGTCTTGGCAAAAGTTGGAAATGCAAGTAATAATTGTGGACAAAGGAACACATAACCATAGAAGACATGCAAAGATTAAACATTGAAGGGAAATGCAAGAAAATTAGCTTCAATTTTAGATTAATCGACAGGGACAAACCTGCAATTATTTGACGATAGCGACTTTAATCCAATATAGTAGTGAGTCAGTTTGAATATGGACAAGTTTTGAGTCAGCGGTTGACATCACCATCTTTCTTCTCCACTACTACCCTGATTGATTTGACAATGTCATGAACTGACATCAACCAATTCCAGAACACATCTCTATCTCTTAAGAAAATTGTAACTGGCTTAAGGTATTTGACACAATATTTATATTTCCTAATGTTCATGGATTGTCACATCAATAATAATCTGAACAGAAATTCACCAAAATTGGGAAATGTAAAACACTTAAATCACACAGTCTTATTAGTTTTATTTTAATCTCAAAAATAGTTTATTTTGGGAATCTTGATATCACTTTTCCAATGGGTTTAATCCAAAATTGAGAGTGATTTTTTTTTTTTTTTTTAATTTGAAAGCAATATGCTGTTCAGATCAGCTTCTCACCAAAATTGTGAAATGTAAAATGCTTAAATCACACATAGTCTTAATCTCAAAAATAGTTTATTTAGTGAATCTTGATATCACTTCTCCAGTGGGTTAAGTCCAAAATTGCGATTTTTTTTTTTTTTTTTTTTTAAATTTGAAAGCAATATGCTGTTCACTTCAGCTTCTCAAAAATATTTATTCCATAATAAAACACTTTAATCTGTTATTGTGAAAGGATTATCATGTGTCTGTCAAACTTAAGTACTAATACAGCAATTTCCGCTTAGAAATTAATTTCATAAATTCAGCTGAAAAATGATCAGCTTTACGAACCACTTGATCAAATTAATAACAGAAATTGTCATAAATTTGTTTTTATGATGACACGCAATCAGGTACGGAATTCGCGTGAGTCAAAGGTCAAACTATCGCCCAGTGTTGGGTATGTCCTCATGCGTGAGTTTGGACAGTGGTTAGCCTCAACTGTG